GGCTTAGGTCAGCTGATCAACCCCCCTGTCCTGCAGCAAGCTTTACATAATACTTCGTAAATTTCACCTTTTCTCAAAGACATTTTTTTCCTTTCTCTTCAGAAGCTCAGAACCGTTTCAGTTTTGTTTTGTAAGGAAAATTTTAACAATCTTCATGAGTTCAACATTTTTCTTGCATGAAGAGCAAAAAATTGTAGGGAAATTAAGTGGAACTGTAATCCCTTGAAGCTGGTGGGAGGGGGACTGTAATCTTCTGCGCCCCCCCCCCTTTGTAGGGTGGGAGTTCTAAAAATCCCGTGTCACCCTTTAATTGGAGTGGAAGCTCCATGTAGGTTTGGAGAGGCTTGCTCCAGCTTGTTTATGAAAAGGGCCAGTAGCTTTACGCTTCTAAGGTTGATAGTTAATATGTAGATTTCCAGTTAAACAAGGTTGGTCCAGTACATCTGCCTGCTGGGCAAGAAGGGCAGTAACCTAATGGGGCTGGCTGTGAGAATCTCTGAGCAATGGAATACGAATCTTGACTCTCTAATTCTCCCACTGGAGGCTGCCTGTTTTGTAATAATAATTTTCCTTAAACGGTTGGGGTGAGGTGGGGGGTTGACTTTTTCCCACTCTCTGTGGGTGGAATTGGGAAGAAACCTGAAAGGTTGGCCAGTTTGAAGCATCTGAGAACTATGGAGCAGTCAGACTAAGGCTCAAAGAAAAGTTCTCTGATGTTGTTTGGTCGTTTTCAGTTGTGTCCAAGCCTTTGGGACCCTATTTGAGGTTTTCTTGGCAAAGATACTGGAGTGATTTCCCATTTTTTTCTCCAGCTCATTTTATAGATGAGGAAACTGAGGCAACAGGGTAAAGTGGTTTGTCCAGGGTCACACAGCTAGCAAATGTCTGAGGCCATGTTTGAACTCAGGTCTTCCTGTCTCCAGGCCTGGCTCTCTATCTACTGTGCCGCCTGGCTCTCTATCTACTGTGCCGCCTGGCTCTCTATCTACTGTGCCACCTAGCTGCCTCTCTGATATTGGGGGTGAGGGGCATCATCATCAGCCATCTCAACCAGTACTTCTTGGGAAAAGTACTTTTGGAAAACTGAAAGGAGCGTGAGATGGATGGCTAGGCTGTTCTTAGAAGGGCGGGCCTTCATGGATTCAGGGCACCCTCAGCCCTGCTTATGGAAGAGGGAATGGATAATAGCATCATTTTCAGACAAGGAAGACAACCTTTCTTGGTGGTAATCACTGGATATGCATCTCAGGATGATGCTTTTGACTAGATTTTAAGGATAAAAGCGATACTGAGTAAATTTACCTGGATGTCTGTGTAAGCTCTCTGAGCTGTGTGTTGGATACCTGCAGAGTGGGCAGGTGTTTCTGAGCTATATGTGCATCTGACAGTCTGCTGTTTCCTATCTGTGCCCCTACTGCTGCCTGCCCGTGATGGAGGGATGGTGTGGGGCAGAGAACCTGGTCACTCACAGCCTGTGAGTGGAAGGCTGAACGGGACACCTGCCACACAGGGAAGTGGTAGAAGAGACCCAGGGACGTGTCCAAGAAAGAGAAACAGATTGAGACTCTCCAGGATGGCTGATATCATGGAACTGTCAACATGAGACCTGGTTGTAATAATCACAGAATAAGAAGGGGTCTTATGCCTTTTTTTTTTAACCCTAGACCATGAGAGTACCATATAAAACAATTATTAGATTGTGTTGTAATTTAATAACGAGGGATCAGAAAGTGAAGATTGAGGCAGTGGCCGGCCACATATTGAGTTGCTTCCTTTCCCACTGGAGGCTGAGGAGAAGGGTTGGCATTTTCATTCCTGAAGTTTATGGTATTTATAACCTGTTGTGGTTTTGTGTCCTGCTGCTGAGGCTGCAGTTAGGCGTCGTTTTCAATTGCCCGGAGCTTTTGGGGAATGGGAAAATGTTTGGGTTTTAAGGCTCCATAATTTCCATCCTTGCTTTTTTCAAAATTTGCTTTGGCTATCACTTGATTATGATGGAATGCTTTTGGAAGCATTAAGTGCTGTTTAAACTCTGCTTATTATGATAAATACCCTAATCCTTACTGTACCAGTGATCCATTAAAAAACAAACAACCCACAACTTTGGGATGGGGGAACAGCAAAGCCTTCGGTCCCTTGAGAGGTAAAACACAAGAAAGATAAGTTGTAAAATGGAATTGCTAGTGAATAACTCTCAGATAAAAGAGCTTTAGAAATGGAATACAGAGAGAAATTTTCAGCGGGTAGAAAGATCATTGTGTGGCTTTGACCCATGCACAGGTCATCCTCAAAGTGAGTTAAATTCTAGGGCTTGTCAAAGAAGCTTATTTTTGCCTCCTAAATGATGCAGCTTCTATTTTTAGAGACCGTTCTGTACCTCCGTAACTGACTGTTCTTTTTCTCCCTAAAGAAAATCCCAACCAAATGAGAATGTAATTGCTAAAACCCGCTTTAATGCAGGCCCCAGTTTGGCAGTCTCAGCTCTCCAATGTCAGGAAGCACACCGCAGATGCACTAATTTCTAAATTACTAGCTGGGCTTCATAATGTATATGTTGTATGCACAGCAGAACATTATGGAGCAAGCCTTCTTGGGGGGGGTGAGATTAGAGCACGCACTCTGACTGCTGCTCGCTAATGTTTGTGTCTTCATTTGGGCGATATTTACCCTAGCCTGGAATCACTAGAGCCAGCAGCAGGCCAGCGGGGACCCTGCCAGGCAGCACCAAAACAAATACGGGAAACGATGGAGCTGCCGGAAAATTGTGTGGACAGTAGTTGCTCATACTTGTAAAATGCTTTCAAAAGGAAAGAAATTGTGTACCCTGAGAGTGAAAGCAGCTGCGCCCCAAGCATTGTGTAGGCGGCTGGTTTGGAGAAGCTTCCAGGGAATCTGGGCCCCAAGTGGGCATTTTGGAAGAGGCCGGAAAGCCTTTTCCAAAGGCACGGTGAGGATGCTGTAAAGATGCTGTCGGTGCTCGTCAGGGCTCCTGGACTGACAGCAGGAAGGAGTGGGAGAGTGTAGACCACCAGAAAAGGAAGAGGCCTGGCACAGAGGAGGCACCTAATTGGTGCTTGTTGACTGGCTGGTGAGGTTTGCAGAGCACTTTGTAGAGCTCACTGCTTTCGATTCTCGTCACAACCCCATTAGGTAAATGCTATAGGTATTGCCATCCCCATTTTACAAATGAGGAAACTGAGGCTGAGCTAGGTTGGAATAGAATGTGAGTCCAAAGGTCACGTAGTGACATGGAGGCCGGGGCCTCTGACACATGGAGTGTCAGAGCTGGAAAGGGTCTTCGAATGCCAGACCCCAGGAGAAACTGCCACCCAGAGAGTGACATAGCCTGGCCAAGGTCACACGATGTCTATTCCACCAGAGCTGTTACTGGATTCTAGTCTGACGCCTGGCACTTTCCCACGTCTCACGCATTTGTAGAAGCTAATAGGCATCCAAGTGAATTATTGAAGGGGCCTTAGAAACTGTCCAGGCAGGCCACACTCTTCCTTTTGCAGACTTGGAATTTGTGGAGGCCTGCCCCGATGGAAGACCCTCCAGAAATCATTTCCTCATGCTGAGCCTGTCTCCATACCTGTAGACTTCAAGCATTACAGACTCCTCTGTGTCACTCAAGGTTCATAACCATCTGGTTTTGTGGATATTTTACATGCCCAGCATGTACAACACATTCCAGCCCAGCTGGCCGGTTTGTTGTTTCTTGGATGAAATATAAACTACTTTGTCATTTAAAGCCCTTCACAACCGGGCCCCGTCCTGCCTCTCCAGTCTTTTTCCACTTGCCTCTGTGACCCGGTGGCGCTGGCCTCCTTGTTCTTCCTTGCACACAACACATCTGGAGGGAGGAGAGAGTGATCAGCAGTGTCGGAGGCCTCAGAGAGGTCAAGGAGAGTGAGGATGGAGAAAAGGCCATGGGATCTGGTAGCTGGAAGATCATCGGGAACTTTGGAGAGGGCGGCTTCAGCGGGAGCAACCTCAGCCTGCCTTCACTCCTCACTGGATTGGATGATTACATTCAGTTCAAGGGCAGAGGGTCCCTCATTGTGTTTGGGCCAGACTTATGTCTGTTTACAAAGCCTGTTTCCTTGTTCTGCTCAGTGTGGGGGGAGGGGATGACAGGTGTGTGGGGGCGTCATGGGACTTCATGGGGGACTGGAGGAAGGAAACACTTGTGAGCTGCTAGGTCGCGTTGTTCCTCCTTCCTTCTCTTGCACACTTAGCTATTTTATTAAGAGGCACTGAGGCCTTGTTGGAAAGCTTTGTGCTGGGCATGCTGGGGCACAGGGCAGGGTCTGCCCTTAGGGAGCTCATAATTGAGTTAGGAAGATAGACTCCCCCATGTGAACCCCTTTACACAGGTAGGGAATGGGATGAGTGCCCAGCAGGGGCATGTTAAGGTTAGAAAATGGAAGTTAGAGCCGAGTACCAGGAAGGAAAAAATCTCCCTAGGTGGGATGGGCTGGGGGCATTGGGAAGAACTTCAGGAAGGAAGCAGCTCCTCAACCCCTGATAAGAGACTTGAGATTCCAGGAAGAACATGGGCTCTGAGAACATGAGTTCTCAGAGTCAAAATAGTTAGAGATGGAAAGGACGCTAAGGCTCATCTAGGCCAGCCTCCTCCTTGTATAGCTTGAGAACCCACCGAGCCCAGAGATGTTAGAGCAGGAGTGAGTGCAGATACTCCCGGTTCAAAGCCGGGGCCTCTGATTCCACATCCAGTGTTCTTTCCTCTGTGCTACATTGCCTTTCTCTCTCTCCCTCTCTCCCCCCCGCCACTGCCTCCTCTCCTTATATATATATATGTATATGTATACTTGATATTAAATTTAGCTCTGTAGAGATGTGCATTATTAATCATAATATTTTTACCCTTGAGAGTCTATGGTATGTAAATGTAACAGCTCTATAGAAATTCAGGACCCTGGTTAAGACTGGATTGTGTGTGTGTGTGTGTGTGTGTGTGTGTGGTTTTTTTTTTCCAGAAATATGGCTATACACACCTTTCTGCAGGAGATCTTCTTCGTGATGAGAGGAGTAAGCCAAATTCTCAGTATGGTGAGCTCATTGAAAAGTACATAAGAGAAGGACAGATTGTGCCAGTTGAGATAACCATCAGCTTGCTGAAAAGGGTAAGGAGTGTAAATGGTGATTAATTCATTCCATCAAACAAGCAATAAATTAAACCCATCTTTCACTTGAACAAACTAAAAGGAAACAACGGGGTATTGTGTTTCCATCTTATGGACAGTGACCACATTGTGGACAGCTTGTGGCGTTAGAGAATGAAAGAGGAAGGAATATTCTATCAAATTAGGGATTATCTACATTAGGTCCATCCATGTGACCAGCCTGTGTAAGTATGTGTGTTGTATATATGTGTACATATATAGGTAAAACAGGAAAAATTAAGAGGAATAAAAGGAACAGAACTATAGGAAAGAATTACTAAAAAAAAAGGAAAGAGTACAAGGAGAGAGAGAGAAGTAGCATATATGATGGAGAAAGGTAAGATATCCACAACTGTCCTAACTGCCCCTCAGCAACAGGCCACTTGTTTACAGAAAAAAAAGTTGGAAACCCTTGTTACTATATAACAACAGCTATTCCAGGTATAGTATATATAGTATATATGCTATATGCTATACATATATGTGTATATATGTGTGTGTGTGTATACTTTATATATGTATATACTTTATGTATGTAGTAAGTAATGTGAATGTGACCACTAATCTGTACATAAATATCCCTGGGGGATACACTTTGATTTAATTTTAAAATATAATATTATCTGTGTTTTATTGTATTTTTATTTAGTTTGTTAAATAGTTCCCAGTTAGATTTTAATCTTGTTTTGGCTGTATGTGGGAGTGTTGTGGCCAAGTGTTTGACACCTCTCAGCTGAAGCTTTGGGCAGAATCTAATAAGATGAAATTCAGTAGCAATAAATGTAAAGTCTTGCACTTGGGTTCAAAAACTTAACTGCCAATTCAGGATAGGTGAGGACATAGGTAGCAGAGTACCTACAGAGGGGGCCTGTGAGCCGTCAGCAGTGTGCTGTGGTAATCAGGGAAGCTAACAGATTTCAGGATACCTAAAAAGAGTCAGAGCTTCCGGAAATCCTTCTCTACCCTGCTTCGGTGAGACCACATCTAGAGGATTGTGTTCTGTTCTGGGAGCCACCATTTAAGGAGAACCTTGATAAGAGAATTCCAAAGGACCCTTGATGACAAATGCTGTTCGTCTCCAGAGAGAGAAATGAGTTCTGAATGCGGATTGAAGCAGACTTTTTTAACTTTTTTTTTTTGTTTGTGTTTTCTTTTGCAACATGACTACTACGGAAATATGTTTTGGATGACTTCACACATATAATCAATATCAAATTGCTTGCCTTTTCAAGGAGAGAGAGAGAAGTTGGAGGGAGGGAGAGAATTTGGAACTCAGTGTTTAAAAAATGATTGTTAAAATTTCTTCTCATGTAATTGGGAAATATTTAATGAAAGAAATAAAAATGGATTTAAACCTAGAGAGTCTGCAGGACAACAGCCAGAATGGCCCTGGAGCCCAAGGCATACAATAGGTTGATTAGAAAAGCCTGAAGGCAAGAAGGAAAGACTTTGGGAGTGGGGCAAAGAAGAGCTGAGAGCAGTCTTCCAGAAGACTTGAAGAGCTGTCATGTTCAGAAGGGGTTAGACCTGTTTGTTTGCCCCAGAGGGCAGAACCAGCAGCAGCATTTGGGGGAAGGAACATGGAGGCCAGCTAGGCTGGATGGCAGAAGAACTCTCTAGGCATGAGGGCTGTGCCGTAGAGAGATGGGCTGCCTTGGAGAGCTTACCAATTCCTCTTCTGACATGGCCGAGCAGATGCTGAGTGACCATTTTCATGGGTGTTCTAATGGACAGTCCTTTGGGGTATGGGCTGGGTCTTTTTTTAAATAATATTTTATTTTTTTCCCAAATTACATTTTAAAACAGTTTTTAACATTTTTTTTAAAGTTTTGAGTTCCAGATTCTATCTCTCCCTCCATGATATAGGTTATGCATGTGCAATCATGTAGAACATTTCCATATTAGTCATTTTGTACAAGAAGACAAACAAACAAAAAAGAATGAAAGAAAGTAAGAAGGAAAGTGGAAAACAGTATGCTTTAGTTTGTATTCAGACAATATAATTTCTTTCTCTAGAGGAAGATAGTATTTTTCATCTTGAGTTCTTTGGGATTGTCTTTGAATCATTGTATTGCTGAGAATGAACTAAGTCATTCACAGTTCTTCATCATACGGTGTTGCTGTTACTGTGTACAGTGTTCTCCTGGTCCTGCTCACTTCACTTTGCATCAGTTCATGTAAGTCTTTCCAGGATTTTCTGAAATCATCTTACTCGTCATTTCTTATAGCATAATAATATTCCATCATAATCATATACCACAACTTGTTCAGCCATTCCCCAATTGATGAGCATCCTCTCGATTTCCAATTCTTAGCCACCACAGAAAGAGCTGCTACAAATATTTTTGTGCAAGTAGGTCCTTTTCCCTCTTTTTTTTTTAATCTCTTTGGGATATAGACCTAGCAGTGGTATTGCTGAATCAAAGGGTATGCACAGTTTTATAGCCCTTTGAGCATAGTTCCAAACTGCTCTCCAGAATGAGTGGTTCAGTTCACAGCTCCACCAACAGTGCCTTATAGACTAGAGCTCTTTAAGGTTGCTTTCAGCTCTCAAATCCTGTGATTCTGGGTCCATGATAGATCTGAGTTGTATCTTGGGAGCCTATCAAGGGAACAGGCAGATTGGCCAGAGAAGAAAGAACCAGAGCTGAGCTGGAGACCATGGCTGTGAGAATGATAGCTGAGAGAGAGCTGTCTTCGGTCCCTGTAAAGCCTCCTGGAGCCTCTTCATCCATAGAGATGGTGAGATGGAGGCAGTCTGGATCATGGTGTGGTAAAAAGTTCTTGGACTCAGCCTCTTAGTGGGAGGACCTTTTGACCTATAATGGCTAGGTGACCTCCCTTTAAGCTCTCAGGACTCCAAGCAGCTCTCTCAAAACTATAAATTGCAGAGTGAGTGCCAGTTGACATCAGTGAAGGGAATTTTCCTCATCAGGAGTCCTCTCTACCAATGAAGTCCTAGATCTGGCCCAAAAAGACAGTGAGATTGAGGGAGACAAAGTTTCCTGGACTGTACCAAGTTCTTAGAACCAGACTTCTGCAGGAAAGAGGAAAGGTTCCAGTTGAGTTTCTGAATCAGGTCTCTTGGAGAGAAGAGGAACAAGCTTACATGGCCCCAGTAGGCGGAGGGACAGCAAGGGACAGTCACAAGGCTGAGGAACAGCCTGGACCATTTCTCTCCAATGTGCCTGTGAGCTGTTTAGACTGTGCAGGTCCAGTAAAAGGGCCCTAAGCTCCCTTACAAGCACTCAGGTTAGTAGTATCTGTCAGATACAGGACAGTCTTTATTTCTCCTTTCAGAAAGAATGAAAAAGAAAAAAAAAGCACACACCACGAAGGACTCAATGAGCCATCTGTCCATCTATCTTCTCCCTCTTCTAGACCTAGGTAGTCCTCCAGACTAATAGTGCCACCTTGTGGTTGAGACTCTGCTGGAAGGGAACACACTTGGGGCCAGGGAGGAGAGTCAATCATCTTCTCACGGGAATTTTCCTTATCAGGAGTCCCAGCTACCCGTGAAGTCCTTTGGCAGTCAGACTGTGGGCCTTTCTGAGCTTCATGAATCTGGTCCTTGGGGACTTGTTGAGACCTGCTGGCACTGACTGAGGAGTGACCGGCCCCCCTGGAATCTGGCCTCCAGAGTTAGGCGGCAGAAGAGAGCTTTGATGGGAGATTAACAACTTGGCTGTGTGTTAGCGTAATTGTAATCCTTTACATTTACTTTGTGTTTTTTTAGGAAAGCTCCAGGGGCCCTAACAGAGCCCACTTTGTCTAACTCCTTTGCTTTTATAGCTGAAGGACTGAGGATCCCAAAGGGGAAATGATATGGCCGTGAGCAGACTTGTTCTAAGCAGCAGAGTCAGGGTTGGAACCGGAGTCTTCTGACTCCAGATTCTGTGCTCTTCCCACTCTGCTTCCCACACTGCTCCCTACTTTCTGAGGGGTTTTGTATACATTATAGATCACAATATTGCCTGGTCCCCTCTGTGGGAATTTATACCAAGGTGGGAGAAGAAGAAAGCATGAATTTTAACTTGGCAGAAGTGAGAAACAGACGTTGGAGTGATGATGGCTTCTGCACGTGTCTCCATTAGGAGAGAGGAAGAGGAGGGGGTTCCCATTGGCTTCAGGGAAGATGGTGCTGGATACTCCTTTTCCTAAACAGTTCTTTTGCCTTCGTCCTTGTTGTAAGTTTCCATTAGTGAGCCCTGGAGCAGACAACTCTCTTTTTGTCCCCTAGGAAATGGATCGAATAATGGAGGCCAGCGCTCAGAAGAATAAATTCTTGATTGATGGGTTTCCTCGAAATGAGGATAACCTTCAAGGCTGGAACAAGACCATGGATGGGAAAGCAGATGTAGCTTTCATTCTGTTTTTTGACTGTGATAATGAGGTAATGAGCATCTTAACCCACTTGTGCTTCGCTTGTGGAGGTCTGTAAGACGCTGGCTGTCAACAGCAGAAGTCCACAAAATGGTGTTCACCTGGGCCTTCCACACCTAAGGTCATGCCAATAGCAGTGAATTCGGCCTGGAAAGACAGTAGCCCTGTGTCTTGCTATATGAACGTGAAAACACTTTGGCATTGGCAATGGGGCTGTTGGTCTTGCAAAACCAGAATTACCTTTCTTTTCACAGTACTTGGGGCTTAGTTATTTTTTATGGGAACCGACACAAACAGCTGGCTGGACCACTATTGTCTTAGGGAGTGCTGGGATCAGAGCCACTGTTTCACTTTATGTAAAGGGGGGGAAGAAATGGACATTCCTGGGACGTCAAAGGGACTTTCCCAACTAGCCAGAGCGTTCAGGATGTTCTGATGCTCTTCTCCAAAGATGACACCATCTACACATATGGGAGACAGGTGTTTTTTTTTCCTTTCCCAAGATGACTTAGAATGCCTTTAAACGTGTGTGTCTATATTTTTAAAATTTGGAACTTAAATACATGGGTTTCCGGGAATTATTTAACTAACATACTCAGCTCCATTTGAGAGTTGCTCTAATGTGAAGTTTGTTAAGCTCGTGTCAATAACTGAACAAGCCGAGGATTGGAAATGGTCCCTTGAAGACTCTGTGGGATGTGTGCTCGGATAAAAGGACAAGTGTGCCCTTGTTTGTAGTAACGGAGCATCACTGGAGACTTTGCATTATTTGAAAATGCACCCCCTTCTTCTCCTAACCCCAAACCAATCTGTTTTCACTTACTCTTCAAAGTCAGCCACTAGAATGTTACCACAGCTTTGTAATGAAGGAATGTTTATTTGTTATTAACAAGAGATGCTTTATTGAAGTGCAGATATGTTGGTGATTAAATATTGGGATATTTATGGTGTTATTGACAAGTAAGCCAACATGGAACCCAAACGGAGGCATGTAATTCATACCTAATAAGTTAATAACATGTTTGGAGGAGCCACGTTCGCATAGACCTTCTTTTTATTGCGGTTTGTGAAAGAATACCCAGGAAAAACTGAGTCATAAATGGATTCTTAGGGTGCTCTGGACTTGTTTAACCTCGTTTATATAAATTGAACCACACACTTCAACGTCAGAGCCTTGGCTTGTTGATTAATGAATCAGACACTTGGAGCTCCGTGCAGGGAATCTTGGGTTGGTTTTTTTTTCCCCTTTCCCTCTGCTTCCTTTAAATTGTTCAGGTTAGGAGAATGACAGGTTTGGGATCAGCATCTCTGTCTAGTAATTGTTCCACGCTCCTTTTGACCAGATCTGCATTGAGCGCTGTCTCGAGAGGGGCAAGAGCAGCGGGAGGAGTGATGACAACCGGGAAAGCCTAGCAAAGAGGTACCGTTGTTTGTGTGACCCTGCCTGCCCTGGGTGGGCCACGCAGCCATCATCGCGGGTGCTCTTGGCCGCCATCCTAGGGACACTTTGGGCCTTCATCCCCATCCCGGGGGCGCTCTGGGCCTTCATCCCCGTCCTGGGGGCACTCTGGGCCTTTATCCTCATCCTAGGCGTGCTCTCTGCTGGGCTGGGGCAGCCAGAGCTGCTAGATTTCCTGCTTCTTTTGTTCAGAGGCCCAGGCAGAGGAAGAGTCTGGACTAGAAATCTCCGAATCCAGTGGCAGGGTCATGATTAGAATGGGGCGATGCCCACAAGGATTAGCCCACTAAGCCTCACTTGAACATGGCAGTGAAAGGGGAAATAACTTTAGCATACAGTCCGGTCGTGTTTTCTCTGTTACAGAATTCAGACCTATCTGCAGTACACTAAGCCTATTATTGACCTTTATGAGGAGATGGGGAAAGTCAGGAAGGTGGATGCCTCTAAGTCCGTTGATCAGGTAAGAATCTGATACTGCTGCTGTTCCCCTTTGAAAAGGGGAAATTATTTCAGCTGCAGTGTGGTCGATGTCTCCCAGGGTGGGCAGGAGAGGAAGGACTGTTTGAAGGATTAGTATGTTTCAAATCATCAGCAACTGGGTAAAAATAGACCTTCTCTCTGTCTAACATGGATTTTATAACTTCAGGCTTGCTCTTGTGAGAAGTATGTCATTTATTATTAACTTTAACCCTTCTTTCCTATGCTTAGGAAGATGGAGATTTTGGGAACTGTGAGTCTGCATGGGCTCATGAAAAGACTTCTGTAGCAGGGGTGGGTCAGCCATATAGGACCAAAGCTCCAAGCTGGTCCTTTTTCTTCCCTGGCCCCACTTAGCAGAGGACACAGCTCCAGAGGTGCTGTGTCCCATGAGTCATCACTTCCCTCCTCTCATTCTTTTTTCTAAAATCAGCGCTCTCCAGATGGTGATCTAGAGGCCGTCAGAGCCCCTGAGAGGCTTCTGGCCGTGCACACTGTGCCTGCTTCGCTGTCCTGGCCCTCCTACTCACTGTCCTTGGGGCTGCCCACTTGTCCTGGAGAGAGGCCAGGTCAGTGAGAAGGCCTGTGGGGAGCAGCAGAGATGGCGAGGACCAAGGGAAGACGACAACCCAGTTGGAAAGTCTAGTCCCTCAACCTGTGTCCAGGGCAGCCGTGTGTAAATCACAGGCAAATCTTGGTGCGGCTCCCCTGACTCACAGCAGCCTTCCCCACAGACACAGGCACAGGAAACAGGCCCGCAGTGCTGCTGGCGCTGATCATGGAATTCTCAGGGGAAGGTTGGACTGCTTCCCTGTTACCTGCACAAGCCATCCTGAGAGGATGACATTCTGCGGAGAGAATAGACAAGAAAACGGCCAGCCAGGGTGACTGAGGGCTCTTGACGAACTGCTGATTTGTGTGGCTTTTAGGGGTTTGCAAAGTGCTTTGTCTACACTATCTCATTTGGTCCACACAGCAGCCCTGTAAGGCAGCTAATGTATGTATTAGCATCCCCACTACACAGATGAGGAAACTGAGGCACAGAGAAGGTGAAGTGACTAGGCCAAGGCCACACAGCTAATAAACAACAGATTCAGAATTAGAATTCTGACACCCCTCACCCCACCCCAAACCCTCTGCTCTCCCCAGCGCATGTGATAACCACCACCACAAAGCCAGGAAGAAAGTCTTTACTAGTGGTGGCACACCTGTCTTTTTGCATAGTGCTTTTCAGTGATTTGGAGATGGGCAGCATAGGAAGGAGGCTGCACTTTTGGGATTCGTATCTCAGCTCAGCCGCTGACTTAACCGTGTGACCCAGGAAAGTGACTTCCTGTGTTTATCTTCTCATCTGTAGAATGGGGATAATAATATTGACTCTGAATCTGAGGGTACATCGGTGTCTGCTGGACGGTACCCAGATGAGGGCTTGGCAAAGCACCGGGCACACATGCAGAGTTATTGCCGTCCCTCCTACAGTTTTGAGCTAACCTGGGTGCCCAGATGATATTGTAGGTCCTGTTTTATAAATGAGGACAACACATTTATTTAATATATTGTTTAACAGTACGTGCTCATTCTGTAATACTCTGGTTTTTACTGCCCTTAATATACTCCAAGGACAGGCTCCCCGCAGATTGCCATCTGTTGCTGCCTCAGTCTGCCAGGTAGCACTTTCCTCCTCTTGTAAAATACATATAGAAATATTTAAAATACACATAGAAATGTTTGCCTAAGCACGTGTTCGGTCATCCTCACGCCATGCTCTTAGTCCAGGAGAGAGGCTGATAAAGTCGTCTAAGAAACCAAAGCAAAACTGGGCCCTTGGAGCCTGAAGGGGTCCCAAGATCACAGATTCTGAGAGCCAGGTGGGAACCTCAGGGGCATCTGGGCCAGGAATCCTCTATGCCAGGCCTTCCATAAGGGGTTGGGGTCCTCACCCCTCTGCACAGCTGCGATGATGAGGTTCGCCTTTGTCCAGATCCAGGTCTACCTGTACGACTTCCAGCCACTGCTTCTACCTTGCCTTCAGGGCCAAGAAAGATGTGCCTCATTGCTCTTTCCGACTCTTAAAAGATGACTGCCCTGTTAGAACCTCAAGGAATTAGGAGGGCCCTCCTCCAGCTCCGAATCCTTCAATCACATGGGCTGTCTTTCTCTTTCTTCTTTCAGGTGTTTGAAGATGTCTTGAAAATCTTTGACAAAGAAGGCTAATTTCTCTCCATAAATCGTGCTCGCTTTGATAGCTGCTACTTCAGTCTACCCTTTGTTTAATGAAGTTTTTTAATCTTTTTGTCATTATGTCTCGATGGATGACTGGAAAATAGATAGTAATTAAGTGAAAAAAATTTTTTTACAGCAGTCATTTTATATGACTCCAGTAGACAGTCACTTCAGGGTCCTGCTTAGTATTAGTGAAGGCTTTCACCCAGCGAAGAAGGCCCTCCTCTCCCCTCCTGCTCGTGCCTTCTGGAGCCAAGCTTGCCACCCACTCCGGAGCGACAGGATGGTCCCCAATTGCTTTCCCAAGCAACCAGTTAAAAAGCAGTCACCACCTGCTATGTGGATCCATGGACCAAATGTCAGGAATCTTGTCATGAAGTCGCTGTTTGCATTTTTTTTTTTTGGTAAATGAAATGAGAAAACAAGGCCGTGGGGTTGTTTTCATGTTTGTTACTTTTAACTGACCATAGGAAATCTGGACCGGATTTGAACCTCCTTGGCTCTTGGCAGTGAGTAGTGGGAGAGAGGGGCATGTTCAGGGTTCCAGGGCTTCAGGCCTTCAGGCCATCTTGGTTCAGTCATGACCCGAGGCCGTGGCAGGTGGAAGGGGGAGGGAACCGGTCTCTCCAAACTGACTCCACCTACCTCCTCCTGGTTCAAAGGAACCTCAGCAAAATTCCTTGCCAGTGACAAACCTGAAAACATGTGCTGGGGGTAAGGGAAAAGGAGATTTTCAACAGTTTGATTTTTGGAACACTTAAAAGAGATTTGGGTCTTCAGGATAATAATGTCTGGTATTGGCTAGAGGGGGAACATTGTCTTAAAATTTGAATTTGAAATTTGTTATGTTTTCTTGGTGGGTTCATTTTTTTCATAGTTATTTGTTTGAAAGGATTTTTCTAAAAATAATTGCACTTTGGTTTGTTCAAGAAAACAATAAATAAATACGCCTTATAAGTGTTTGAGTCTGTCTTGAGGTGTTTCTGTTCAGTCAGTTCTGTTGATGGATGGCATCATTTTGACGTAGTGAGCCTTACTCGATCAGTGCTGTCACCAGAAAGTGCAGACTTCGTCCTGCCCATCCAGAAGGAGCCACTTTCCACAGTCACATCTTCTTTCAGCAGTTTTCCTTCTTCCCACCTCCCCTATCAGCTGCAAGCAGCAGTACTCGACTCAAAAAACTTAAAATTTAAGTTTTCTTAAAACTGTTTTTTTTCTTCTACAGTGCTTCTGGATGCAGGGGTGGGGAACCTTAAGCACCACCTTTAATTCAGTCAAAACATAGCACTTAAGGATCTAGAAAGCCACAAGTTCTCCACCCCTGTATCTAGACTCTGCCAGCACTCTGCCCCAGCTGCCTTGGGAAGAGGCGTTTTGACTAGGAACAGTTGAGAAATTATAACAAATCTGTTGGGTGAAGATAGAAACATTCTTGGGCATGGTAGGGAAGTTGCTTCTTTCAGATTAATTTTCCAGCTGATAAAAAGCCTAGTCCATCCCCACCCCCACCCCACCTGCCAATGCTGTGAAGTTTTTCACCCCACCAAAGCTGGGAAGAGGATTAATTATCTTGGCTTCTTAGGAGAGAGACGGCGCAGAAGCACTTCTCTGCCGAATCAGTCTAGCTAATATGGAAGGGCCTTCCTGGGGTCCTGGTTTGCGAGCCCACCCCAGTGAGGACCAAGAGGTGGCTTATAGAGACTTCTGTGTCCCCACCCCCAGCTCCCGAGCTGGAGAAACAGAGAGAGAGACAGATTGTCCTGCAGTGTTGCACTCAAGCTGCCGAGAAGAGGTGCCTTACTTCTTTTTTGTCAGATATCACTTGGTGACTTCTCGAGCTGAAACCCAGAAGTGGCTAAATTGGGTGGCTGTTCTTTTGTTTGTAAGTAGGAAAACACGTTGGCCCCGATGGAGCTCCATCTGACTCTGCTGGTCCGGTCATTCCTTTTGTTAAAGACAGAGTCACTGTGAAGTCCATGGGGGTTTGAAAATTGTCTCATTTGGAGTCTTTTTTTTTTTTAATAGCTCTTAGCACAGTGCCTTGCCTAGAGTAGGTGCTTAATAAATGTTAATTGACCGACTAGCTTGTGATTGTTATTTCTGTCTGGTGATGTTAAACAGTGTAAATTATTTAAACGACGATATCCATAAATGTGTGCTGTTGCCTTTGCTGATTTCCTGTTTTGAGACTGAAGCTCGGATCCAAGTCAAGCCATGGGCTTTGTGGAGGCAGGATTAGGAGACAAGGGAGCCAGATTCTAGTCCTGGCCCTTGCTAATTAGTAGCTCTGGGATCTTGGGCCAGTTACCGCTTCTGTTTCCCCATCTTTAAAATGAGGAGTGTAGGCAGACCAGATGATTTCTAAGGGCCTTTCTGCTCTGACATTCTGTGACTGTGATTCTAATTAACCACAGCCCCCATGTATACCAATGGGAGGAGAACCCGCAAGACTTCTGCCACAGTGCCCTGGAAGAAGTCAGGGCCACTGCACAGAGACCCTGCCCTGGCACCTGCCCCACCATCCTTGACTTGTGTCTCCCCAGGGGAAACTGGCAACTGGTGGTGGCTTAGGGGATGAGGTATTTTTAATAGCTTGCGGCTCCCCTGCTTAGGTCCTTTTGTGGTTGCTTGATCTTCCTGTGGTCCGGGTGATGTCTGTGCCCAGTCCACAGTTCTCCATGCAGGCACAGACCCACGAGACTCATCCCACACTTGGGTTAGGGCCAGCCCCTCAGGGATGTGTTCCCTTGTCTTAATGGGCATATCACTTCCCCTTGTCCCCTTCCCCTCCCTTCTCCACCTCCCCTTCCCCCATCTTTAGTGCCTTGTACGGTGCCTGGATGTTAGTTACTCCTGGATGCTTCAGAGGGTCTGTCAGGGTGGGCTCTTGTGCCAGTGACACAGATCACAGTCTTCTCTGGCTTTAGTTGATAGATGGGTGTTCATGGGTTGCTTTGGCTAAAAACTGACTTTCAGGAGAAGAGTCATGTCAAACTTAGCCAGACTAACCGTCAGATGCTGGCTGGTGCCATGAAGCTTGTACTCAAAGCCTCCGGCCCCATAGGCCCTGTTGGAGCTTGGCCTTGGAGTGCCCAGGGCACATCCTCCTCCATGAGGACGCATCCATGGAAGATGACCGAGAAAAAGCAGCTTGAAGCATTTATGAAACTGCATGTGATGATGTGGCAGGCATTCCATAGAGTCCTGCCGACACACTGCAGAACACCCTCCAGGGATGTTCAGTCAGAGGTCGGCCCCCGAACTGCTGTGGCTAGACATGTAAAGCGATGGACCACGAGAAAGCTAAAGTACTGTTTGCCGCTGGGGTTGAGGGTAAAGTGTATTTAGGATTGGAGAGCAGGAGGCTGATGGCTGCCCAGTAAGGGAGGAAGGGAGAAGGAGTCACCCCTTTCCAGTCTCTGAGAAGCCATTGAAGAGTAATAACATCTCAAACAACTCATTATTTTTCCCCTTCAGCCCACCCACCACTCCCAACCTCCCCTGTGTGTCAGAGGACCTCAGTCCTCCCAGGGAACCATCTTTCGCTTTCAATGATTTCCCCTCCCACTCCACCTTTCACAGGTTTTCCGAAAGTGAATGTCATATGTCCAGTCAAGGCATGACCTGGTCTGACTTACACAATTCAAGGAGACCGCTTAGGGTGGAATAATGTTAACAATAAATGACAGCATTTATATAGTGCTTCAAGGTTTTTGAAATGACTAATGTTATCTCTTGAGGTCACAACAACCCCATTCTACAGATCAGGAAGCCGAGGCAGGCTGAGGTCGAGTGGCTTGCCTGGAGTCACACAGCTAGTGAGTGTCTGAAGCCTGATTTGACCTAGGGTTCTTCCCGTTTCCAAGTTTCAAGGAAGGTAGGTATCGTTATTATCCCCACTTTGCATCTGAGGAAATCAAGGCAGGCAGAGGTTAAGTGACTAGTAAGTGTCTGAGGCCAGATTTGACCTAAGGTCTTCCTGCTTCCAAGTTCAGGCTCTAGCCACTGCACCACCCAGTTATCTGGGTGGAATAAGACAGGACCTGATTGGATTTCTCAGTCCAATTGCCTTCTTTCTCAACTTACTACAATAGTTATAACCACAGGAGTATGGTTATTACACTTCACAATGTACAAAGTGCTTTTTTTCACGTCAGTCCTGGGACATTGGTCATAAAATTAGTGTGATCTTCATTTTACAGAGCTAGTAACCATTGGATCTGGCACTAAGACTGATTTCCTCTGACCCCAGATAACACTTTGCACCACCCACCTGTGTACTGATGACAGACTTAAGTACCAGTCAGCAAATGAGAAATTAACTGATGTCTGGCTGCACCGTGGCTGGGTAAGGAGACCATTATGCTTTTGATCAACTTGTTTAGATCTCCCTATCACACCTTATCCTGTGACCAGACTCTGCTTAGAATGGAAATTTTTTTATTGTTTTAGATTTTTTTTCAATTACAAACAATTTATTTTCTTTCCTCCTGTTTAAAAGAAAATGCTTGCAATTAATGAATAGCTGATTTTTATGGAAAAAAAATTTTAAATACATTTTTGTTGATGTCTTTTTTCCCCACATTGTAGTTTTTGCCAGTATCCATTCCCATCCAATATGTCAAAATAATGTTCTTTAAAGACCAAAAAGAAAAGAAAAAAATCAACACAACCGATTGATACATTGAAAAATTCTGAAAACAGTTGTGGACCTTCTGTCTCCACAAAAGAGTGGATTGGGAGAGTCCTCTTATATCTCTTCATTTGGGTCCTGCTGAGACAAGTATTTCTGAAAGTAACTATGTTCCCAGGATGGGAACATCTCTGAAGCTAGAAGTCATCTCAGATTCCTTTTCTCTCTTCCTTCTTTGGAGTTCCTTCTCTGTACTTAGTCATCCCTTAATTCTTACTTTGGAAGTAAGTCTGCACCTACCCTACTGTATTAGATTTTAAGCACTGGCCTTTTTTTTTTTTTGTCCCTCTTCACATTCTGATTTGGAAGGGACCTTAGGAGACCTCTTGTCTAGACTGTGGCTAAGCTGTCGTGATCCATTCTTGATGAAGTCCATACTTGCTCCTTCTGAGTTCTGTAGCTCTTTAAAAATGCTCATCTAAGGGAGTACCCAATCGGACTTCAGCAAAGCTGAAGGTTGGAAGGGGTAAAAAGATGTTGCCCTGTAGCAAAACCTTTTATATGCATTGTCTCTCCCTAGTAGAACATGAGCCCCTGGCAAGCTGGGACCACCTTACAGCTGGAAAGGCTCTGAAGTGGGAGTGGGAGTTGGAATAGTAGCCTCAGAATGGGTGCTGTTAATGGAAATGACTCATGACCATCAGATAGAGGGCAGCTAGGGGGTGCTGAGGATGGACCACTGGGCCTAGAGTAAAATTCAGCCTAGGACACTAACTAGGTG